GTGCCCTCCTGTCCTCTCACAGAGCTGAGAACGGTCCCACCTGTATGATCCTGCGCCCGCTGCCCGGCCGTCCTTCGCAAACCAAGCTCACGTGGCTCCTCAGCATCGACCTGAAGGTACGTGTCGCAGGGAACCTTTCAAAGTAGAAGCAGGACTCGCGTTCAAGGCAGAGGCTCTGCTCACGGGCTGTGTCTGCTCCTCTCCAGGGCTGGCTGCCGAAGACCATCATCAACCAGGTCCTGTCCCAGACGCAGGTCGACTTTGCCAACCACCTTCGGGAGCGCCTGGCCCGGACGGTGGCCGTGAGCTGCTGACCACAGGCTCTGTTGTAGTGCTTTGTTAGGGGTGAAGTGGGGAATCTTGTAACGGGGTAAGTCAGACGCAAATTAATTACAGCCTGTGCTAATTAGCCAAGGCCTTTAATAGTAGACACCACTAGTTCATACATAGTTTCAATAAATAAATAAACACAGCTTTAGTTATTGAAACTAATTACTTAGGGGGGTTGCAGGGGCCTGAACGAGCACATGTTCGTTGTGCAAACGCAGGACCAAAAATTTGAGCAAAGTCCTGCGTTTGCTCCACTGATGAGCATGTGCTGGCCCATTCAGGCCCCTGCGACCTCCCTAACTAATTAGTTTCAATAAATAAACAAATCTTTAATTAGTGGTGTCTGCTGTTAAAGGCCTTGACTAATTAGTTATGACATGGGGAAGGCAGAAGGACCAGCACATGCTCAGTGGGGCAAACACAGGCCTTGCTTAGCCTCAAACTGTATTCCCCTCCTTCCCCCAAAACACAAACACACCACTTACCCGGAAATGTTATTCCCTTCTCCCCACAATGAAGCAGCTCTAATTTATTTTTCCTCTACAGACACGTCCATGGTGTCAAATTATTTATTCAAAGCTCTGCAATGATGATCATTGTAAACTTGTCAATGCAGCGAGCAGATCTTCAGCTTGTGAGATCTCATCCATAACAAGTCACAAAAAAACCAAACCAAACCAAACCAAACAAAAAAAACAACCAACAACCCCCCCCTAAAACCAAGAGTTAAAGCCTTTATTTTTAAACTGGTTTCCAGTTTGTGGGGGGAAAAAATAGTTTGGACAGAAGCCCAAATTTTAGTCTTACATGCAGTAGTCTTGTAACAACACAATCCCTCTGGCTGGAAGCTGTTGTTTACAGTTAGCCACGGAGCAGAAGTGTCAGTGTGGCTTCTGCACGTGTACATACAGCAGTAGGTCCAACTACAGCCCGCTCGCACGGAACAAATGACTGTTACAACCCAGGTACAGCACATGAGAAGTCAACTC